CCCAGCCGGTCCGACCGGTCCACGACGAACAGGTTGTTCTTCCTGACGATCTTGATGGGCAGCCTGTCGAACTTGCTGGCCTGCCGGGGCTGCTCCTTCGGGGGCGCCTCGGCCCCGGGCCCCGCCCCGGGCGCGTCCTCCGCGTCCTCCTCCGCCTCGTCGCCCGAGCACTCGGCCGCCTCCTCCTCCTGCGCCGGCTCCTCGGCCCAGGCCTGGCCGTCCCTGCGCTCGGCGCTGTGATCCAGGGCCTTCTGGCCCGGGTCGCCCACCTCGTACTCCGTGAGAATTCCAAAAATGTCAATCAGGCATTTCCTAAAGTACTCGACTAACAGTTCGAGGAACCCCGACAGCTGGATGGAGAGAAGAGAACAGGTGCGGTCAGAGCGCCGGCCGGCGGCGGGCAGCAGCGGGGCCTGGGGCGCTCCCCGGGGCCACGGAAGGGAAGCCACTTACCAGCTAGGACTAGGCCACGGAAGGGATGCCACTTACTAGGCCACGGAAGGGAAGCCACTTACCAGCTAGGACTAGGCCACGGAAGGGAAGCCACTTACCAGTTAGAACTAGGCCATGGAAGGGAAGCCACTTACCAGTTAGAACTAGCTTCCTGAATTTTTAGTACTAAACCAGTATTTACCGTGTTTCTAATTTCCTGCACTATCAACATGACAAGTTACCGGTGACTTTCATTTTGCTAGGATTAGAGGGCTTTGCTGTCCTTTTTTTCTGACTTAGACATAACGTATCCACTAGAAAATGGGAAGTGAGTCTGTTCTTTTCTATTATTTGTCTGAGACTCTGCTTGCCTGGGTTTTTACGGTTATTATTATCAAACTGTAGAGTTATTTCTGTCTCAGGTACCACAGGTCACTCTGATTTACTTTCTCCATATATCTTTGCAGGAAGATAATTTCAGCAGTTATAGTAGCTCATAAACAGAAAATTAAAAACAAATCAATTGAGTCCCTGATAAATGGATTCGAATGTTTGCTAGAATGCAATTTTACCTTTCAGCTATTCACAGCTCTAGCTGACAACATCCAGGACAGGACCAGTTTTGTTTCCTTTAGGCACATGTTTCCTTTAGACACACCCCCTGGTTAGCACCTGCTCAGCTCCCCTCCCTCAATGTCCCATCCGCAGTTAAGGGACGACAGAGGCTCAGTAGGTAAGAAAGGATTCCTTAGTGAGGATGAACAGAAAGCAACCACCTTCCTGGCCTGCTGTCAGGTTCCCCAGTTCGACCTCATCACATGAAGGGAACCCCAGGAGCAACCAGAAAGTACCGCCTTTAGGGTACAAGTGCAGGCTTGGGTGTGCCCCACCCCACACGCTGCACCTGGCTCTCTTTCTGGGCGAGGGAAAGGGAAGCTGCTAGAGGGGACTTGCCTGAAAATGGGGATCAACAGCAGTCCACCTCCCCCAGGATGGAGCTGACTATTCCAGCACAGGACACACAGGTTTTTTAATACTTTCAGTTGAAATGGACTTCATGTAATGTTTACGACCTTATTAATACACTTCCTATCAACTGAAAAACTGCCTTTCGGGGCTATAATGAGGACTTAAATGAGAGAAAAGAAAGTGGGAGATTGTGGTCCTATTTCAATAGAGGGGAGGAATTAGATGTTTGGGCTTTTTTCATCCAAAGCAGAGAGCTGTTCACACACAAGGGAAAATAACCTCTTCTCATGTTTGTCTCTGACCATTCTTTAAAAGTCTGTAGCCAGCTGACCCTTGGGCATTTCTCCCAACCCTCAGCTCCCCCTTGCTCTCCAGCTGCTATGTTGGAAGCTACTCTAAACCCAGCACTGAATGCAGGAGGGTTGTAAGCTCATTCAGAGCACTAGCTTTTAAATGACGGCTTCCAGTAACCTGGAGAGAGGTGGAGATGGGAGGGAGCACACTGAGAAATAAGTGTGGCCATGAGTTCATGACTATTTCAGCTGAATGAAGGGGACATAGGGATTCATTAAACTGTATTCTCTACTTGCATATACAGTTGACCTTGAACAACATGGGTTTGAACTGAGAGGGTCCACTTTTTTTCAACAAATACCTGTGCAATTTTCGATTTGTGGATGGGGAGGTCTGACCATATGCACTGTTCTTATTCAGGGGACTTGAGCATCCACAGATTTTGATATTCATGGGGGGAGGTACTGGAACCCATCCCCCATGGAAACCAAGGAACAATTTATGTGTCTGGGGAGTCAGTTATATGCGGATTTTCGACTACGTGGGGGTACCCTAACCCCTGCATTGCTCAAGGGTCAACTGTATCTTGTAAATATAAAATTTCTCTTTAATATTACATTTTATTTTTTTAGTTAAGAGAAAGGTGTGAGGTCCTCTTGGAAAGAAGAGTAATTATCTCCACTGCAACCTGCTGCATTTCCAGCACTGACTACACACATAACTTTATGTGAGATCTGAGTTAATTCCATTGGGCGGCTAATATTCATTTTAAACAGCAACTTAATTTTACTACTACCATCTATTCTATACACACACCCATGTACATGGTCATGGTTTTCTTATGAGACACAGGTATGTATAAACTTATGTAAACACTGAAATGAACTGTTATGCCAGACTACATTCTCAGACAACCATATAACGATTGATACTGGTGATAGAAAGTGTTAGATGCCACGGGCTAACATTAGTTCAAGCATTAACGAGACTTAATTTTCTTACTCTGATTCTGCCCTTGGCTCGGTTGGTGCTGCCTTACCTGGGAGAGATTGAACGTAGCAACAGTGCTGTCATCATACAGGAGAATATTAATAGTGTCCAAAGCCCAAGTACTTTCAGCCAAGAGACCTGACTTCAGGGACATCATCACGCGCCATGCCTCGGGAGTAACTGGCAACGGGAAGGAACAGGATGTAGTTAATATTAACTCCATGCATGTGAACAGAAAGTAACAGTAAGAGAAAAGACGTGGAGTGTGAGGACTGGTTTCAAGTAAATGTTCTGAGGGGTTGTTAAGCACGGTCACTTCCAGATCTGAGAAGAGGCGATAGCTCAGTAAGAAACGGTGACCGTCAAGGTCTCTGCTTTGCTGGTTAAACAGGAGCTCACGTGCTTCTCCAGGTGGCAGTGGGTCAGCACATCTCCACCCTTTTCTTTTACCCCTAAGAGAGCCTGATGCATCAGAGCTTCAATAACCGAGTCAAACCAAACAATGCTTCTGCCTGCTCCACTCACAGATGTCTCAGTGTGGCGAATTTGGAAGGCTGGCAAATACAAAGCATATAAGCCAAACTTAATTCCCAAACAGCACCTCTCAGGTACAAAGTCCAGGTTTTCCCTGCCGTCCTCTATTTCTGAGCTGACCCTCAGACATGCTGTTGACAACACCAGCCCTTTGAGGGCTCAGGTGATCAGATTAAACATGGGCAGGGTTTGCCATGGCTGGGGCTAGGAAAAGAGGCCCAACATCTGTCTGAATTTCAGGGGGAGCTGATTCTGGAACCTGCGCACTCAGAACTCACCGTGGCAACAACCAAGACCAGGTGCCAACAGCGGCCTCACCTTGGGAAGGGATGGGGGTGGTTTCCACCTTTATATCAATTTCATCTACTTTTCAATTTTTCTAAGATAGGCACATAATACTTTTACCATAGAAAAGCAAACTTCCTTTTTAAAATGAGGAACTTAAATTTCCCTAGGCTACAGACAAATACTGGTGTAATGTGTACTAAGAAATTTTATATATAGTTATTTAAACATATGTACACACATATAAACACACAAATACATGTGCATATTTTTACATATATTTCCATATATAAAATGGTGCGCAGTGTTTGTATCTCTCGCTCATCTCCAGTACCCCCCTCTATAAAATTCCTTACTTTTCTCCCCCTATTTCTAGCTCCGTAATGTCCAATGACTGAAGACATCTTTAATATTTTTCTAATCACTGCAAATTATTTCATATCAAGTGACTGAGATTTTTTAAAAGAAAATTTTAATATAATTAAGATATTTAATTCCCTTTGCTATACTAAAAGTACTTGAAAAATAATGCAGAAAACTGTGTGCGCTCCGAGTCCAGATATCTCACTGGTGCTCGGAGCGTCCCCGACAGGACGCAGAGCTCCGTCTGTCACTGAAGTCACCCCTGGGCCGGGGCACGTCCACTCTACAGGCCACAGCACACCCACGTCTACCTAGTGCCCCGCGGAGGCTCCCTGTCTCCCGCGGGGGCCCACCCCGCGGGCTGCTGCCGAGGCCGGGCGGCCTTCCCTCGCCT